CCTAGTCACTCACCTAGTCACTCACTCACTCAGTCACTCACTCAGTCACTCACCCAGTCACTCACTCAGTCACTCACCTAGTCACTCACTCAGTCACTCAGTCAGTCACTCACCCAGTCACTCACCCAGTCACTCACTCTCTCAGTCACTCACCCAGTCACTCACCCAGTCACTCAGTCACTCACTCACTCAGTCACTCACCCAGTCACGTGGTGGTGGAGAATCTCTTTTACCCGGTCACGTTGGACGTGCTTCACCAGGCCAGTCACTCACCCAGTCACTCACCCAGTCACTCACTCAGTCAGTCACCTAGTCACTCACTCTCTCAGTCACTCACCCAGTCACTCAACCAGTCACGTGGTGGTGGAGAATCTCTTTTACCCGGTCACGTTGGACGTGCTTCACCAGGCCAGTCACTCACCTAGTCACTCACCTAGTCACTCACCTAGTCACTCACCCAGTCACTCAGTCACTCACCCAGTCACTCACCTAGTCACTCACCCAGTCACTCTCTCAGTCACTCACCCAGTCACTCACCCAGTCACTCACCCAGTCACTCACTCACTCACTCACCCAGTCACGTGGTGGTGGAGAATCTCTTTTACCCGGTCACGTTGGACGTGCTTCACCAGGCCAGTCACTCACCCAGTCACTCACCCAGTCACTCACCTAGTCACTCACCTAGTCACTCACCCAGTCACTCACTCAGTCACTCACCTAGTCACTCACCCAGTCACTCACTCTCTCAGTCACTCACCCAGTCACTCACCCAGTCACTCACCCAGTCACGTGGTGGTGGAGAATCTCTTTTACCCGGTCACGTTGGACGTGCTTCACCAGGCCAGTCACTCACCCAGTCACTCACCTAGTCACTCACTCAGTCAGTCACCTAGTCACTCACCTAGTCACTCAGTGACTCACTCACCTAGTCACTCACCTAGTCACTCAGTCACTCACCCAGTCACTCACCCAGTCACTCACTCAGTCACTCAGTCACTCACCCAGTCACTCACCCACCCAGTCACTCACTCAGTCACTCAGTCACTCACCCAGTCACTCACCTAGTCACTCACCCAGTCACTCACCTAGTCACTCACCCAGTCACGTGGTGGTGGAGAATCTCTTTTACCCGGTCACGTTGGACGTGCTTCACCAGGCCAGTCACTCACTCACTCACTCAGTCACTTACCTAGTCACTCACCCAGTCACTCACCCAGTCACTCACCTAGTCACTCACTCAGTCACTCACTCACTCAGTCACTCACCCAGTCACGTGGTGGTGGAGAATCTCTTTTACCCGGTCACGTTGGACGTGCTTCACCAGGCCAGTCACTCACCTAGTCACTCACCTAGTCACTCACCTAGTCACTCACCCAGTCACTCACTCAGTCACTCACCCAGTCACTCACTCAGTCACTCACTCAGTCACTCACTCAGTCAGTCACTCACCTAGTCACTCACCTAGTCACGTGGTGGTGGAGAATCTCTTTTACCCGGTCACGTTGGACGTGCTTCACCAGGCCAGTCACTCACCCAGTCACTCACTCAGTCACTTACCTAGTCACTCACTCAGTCACTCACCTAGTCACTCACCCAGTCACTCAGTCACTCACTCAGTCACTCACTCACCCAGTCACGTGGTGGTGGAGAATCTCTTTTACCCGGTCACGTTGGACGTACTTCACCAGGCCAGTCACTCGCCTAGTCACTCACTCAGTCAGTCACTCAGTCAGTCACTCACTCAGTCACTCACCCAGTCACGTGGTGGTGGAGAATCTCTTTTACCCGGTCACGTTGGACGTGCTTCACCAGGCCAGTCACTCACCTAGTCACTCACCTAGTCACTCACTCAGTCACTCACCTAGTCACTCACCCAGTCAGTCACTCACTCAGTCACTCACCCAGTCACTCACCCAGTCACTCACCTAGTCACTCACCTAGTGACTCACCTAGTCACTCACTCAGTCACTCAGTCACTCACTCACCCAGTCACTCGCCCAGTCAGTCACTCACTCACTCAGTCACTCACCCAGTCACTCACCTAGTCACTCACCCAGTCACTCACTCAGTCACTCACCCAGTCACGTGGTGGTGGAGAATCTCTTTTACCCGGTCACGTTGGACGTGCTTCACCAGGCCAGTCACTCACTCAGTCACTCACTCACCCAGTCACTCACTCAGTCACTCAGTCACTCACCCAGTCACTCACTCAGTCAGTCACCTAGTCACTCACCCAGTCACTCACCCAGTCACGTGGTGGTGGAGAATCTCTTTTACCCGGTCACGTTGGACGTGCTTCACCAGGCCAGTCACTCAGTCACTCACCCAGTCACTCACCCAGTCACTCACTCAGTCACTCAGTCACTCACCCAGTCACTCACCCACCCAGTCACTCACTCAGTCACTCAGTCACTCACCCAGTCACTCACCTAGTCACTCACCCAGTCACTCACCTAGTCACTCACCCAGTCACGTGGTGGTGGAGAATCTCTTTTACCCGGTCACGTTGGACGTGCTTCACCAGGCCAGTCACTCACTCACTCACTCAGTCACTTACCTAGTCACTCACCCAGTCACTCACCCAGTCACTCACCTAGTCACTCACTCAGTCAGTCACTCACTCAGTCACTCACCCAGTCACGTGGTGGTGGAGAATCTCTTTTACCCGGTCACGTTGGACGTGCTTCACCAGGCCAGTCACTCACCTAGTCACTCACCTAGTCACTCACCCAGTCACTCACCCAGTCACTCACCTAGTCACGTGGTGGTGGAGAATCTCTTTTACCCGGTCACGTTGGACGTGCTTCACCAGGCCAGTCACTCACCTAGTCACTCACCTAGTCACTCACCCAGTCACTCACCTAGTCACTCACCTAGTCACTCACCTAGTCACTCACCCAGTCACTCACTCAGTCACTCACCCAGTCACTCACTCAGTCACTCACTCAGTCACTCACTCAGTCAGTCACTCACCTAGTCACTCACCTAGTCACGTGGTGGTGGAGAATCTCTTTTACCCGGTCACGTTGGACGTGCTTCACCAGGCCAGTCACTCACCCAGTCACTCACTCAGTCACTTACCTAGTCACTCACTCAGTCACTCACCTAGTCACTCACCCAGTCACTCAGTCACTCACTCAGTCACTCACTCACCCAGTCACGTGGTGGTGGAGAATCTCTTTTACCCGGTCACGTTGGACGTACTTCACCAGGCCAGTCACTCGCCTAGTCACTCACTCAGTCAGTCACTCAGTCAGTCACTCACTCAGTCACTCACCCAGTCACGTGGTGGTGGAGAATCTCTTTTTCCCGGTCACGTTGGACGTACTTCACCAGGCTAGTCACTCGCCTAGTCACTCACTCAGTCAGTCACTCACTCAGTCACTCACCCAGTCACGTGGTGGTGGAGAATCTCTTTTACCCGGTCACGTTGGACGTGCTTCACCAGGCCAGTCACTCACCTAGTCACTCACCTAGTCACTCACTCAGTCACTCACCTAGTCACTCACCCAGTCAGTCACTCACTCAGTCACTCACCCAGTCACTCACCCAGTCACTCACCTAGTCACTCACCTAGTGACTCACCTAGTCACTCACTCAGTCACTCAGTCACTCACTCACCCAGTCACTCGCCCAGTCAGTCACTCACTCACTCAGTCACTCACCCAGTCACTCACCTAGTCACTCACCTAGTGACTCACCTAGTCACTCACTCAGTCACTCACCCAGTCACGTGGTGGTGGAGAATCTCTTTTACCCGGTCACGTTGGACGTGCTTCACCAGGCCAGTCACTCGCCCAGTCACTCACCCAGTCACTCACTCAGTCAGTCACTCACTCACCCAGTCACTCACCTAGTCACTCACCTAGTCACTCACCCAGTCACTCTCCTAGTCACTCACCCAGTCACTCAGTCACTCACCCAGTCACTCACCCAGTCACTCACTCAGTCACACACCCAGTCACTCACCCAGTCACTCACTCAGTCACACACCCAGTCACGTGGTGGTGGAGAATCTCTTTTACCCAGTCACGTTGGACGTACTTCACCAGGCCAGTCACTCTCCCAGTCACTCTCCCAGTCACTCACCCAGTCACTCACCCAGTCACTCACCCAGTCACTCAGTCACTCACCCAGTGGCTCACCTAGTCACTCACCTAGTCACTCAGTCACTCACCCAGTGACTCACCTAGTCACTCACCTAGTTACTCAGTCACTCACTCAGTCACTCACCTAGTCACTCAGTCACTCACTCACCCAGTCACTCACCCAGTCACTCAGTCACGTGGTGGTGGAGAATCTCTTTTACCCGGTCACGTTGGACGTACTTCACCAGGCCAGTCACTCAGTCACTCACCCAGTCACTCACTCAGTCACTCAGTCACTCACTCAGTCACACTCACCCAGTCACTCACCTAGTCACTCACTCACTGACGGTGATGGTTGTTGTGGTGATGATGTGATGGTTGTTGTGGTGATGGTTGTTGTGGTGATGATGTGATGGTGATGGTGGTTGTGGTGATGATGTGATGGTGATGGTGGTTGTGGTGATGATGTGACGGTGATGGTTGTTGTGGTGGTGATGTGACGGTGATGGTGGTTGTTGTTGTTGTGGTGTGACGACGATGATGGTGGTTGTGGTGGTGACGGTGATGGTGGTTGTGGTGATGATGTGACGGTGATGGTTGTGGTGATGATGTGATGGTGGTTGTGGTGGTGACGGTGATGGTGGTTGTGGTTGTTGTGGTGTGACGATGATGGTGGTTGTGGTGGTGATGACGGTGATGGTGGTTGTGGTGGTGACGGTGATGGTGGTTGTGGTGGTGACGGTGATGGTGGTTGTGGTGGTGACGGTGATGGTGGTTGTGGTTGTTGTGGTGTGACGATGATGGTGGTTGTGGTGGTGATGACGGTGATGGTGGTTGTGGTGGTGATGTGACGGTGATGGTGGTTGTGGTTGTTGTGGTGTAGATCTTCTCTAAGTTTGGGACGGTTCTGAAGGTGATCACCTTCACCAAGAACAACCAGTTCCAGGCCCTGCTGCAGTATGCAGACCCCATCCACGCTCACCAGAGCAAGATGGTGAGTACCTCCACACTCACCCGGACACTCACTCACACGCTCACTCACTCACTCGCTCGCTCACTCACTCATTCACACACTGTCACACTCACTCACACGCTCACCCGCTCATTCAGTCACACGCTCATTCACACGCTCACTCGCTCATTCAGTCACACGCTCACTCACACACTCACTCGCTCACCCGCTCACACGCTCATTCACACGCTCACTCACACACTCACTCGCTCACTCACTCATTCAGTCACACGCTCACTCATTCAGTCACACGCTCACTCACACGCTCACCCGCTCACACGCTCATTCACACGCTCACTCACACACTCACTCGCTCACTCGCTCATTCAGTCACACACTCACTCATTCAGTCACACGCTCACTCACACACTCACTCACACGCTCATTCAGTCACACACTGTCACACTCGCTCACTCACACACTCACTCGCTCACTCGCTCATTCAGTCACACGCTCACTCACACACTCACTCGCTCACTCATTCAGTCACACACTGTCACACTCGCTCACACGCTCACTCACACACTCATACGCTCACCCGCTCATTCAGTCACACGCTCACTCACACGCTCACTCATTCAGTCACACGCTCACTCACTCACTCATTCAGTCACACGCTCACTCACACACTCACTCACTCATTCAGTCACACGCTCACTCACACACTCACTCACTCATTCAGTCACACACTGTGACACTCGCTCACACGCTCATTCACACACTCACACAGTCACACACTCACTTACTCGGTCACTCACTCGCTCACTCACTCATTCAGTCACACACTGTGACACTCGCTCACACGCTCATTCACACACTCACACAGTCACACACTCACTTACTCAGTCACTCACTCGCTCACTCACTCATTCAGTCACACGCTGTGACACTCGCTCACACGCTCACTCACACACTCATACACTCACTTACTCAGTCACTCGCTCACTCACTCACTCGCTCACTCACTCATTCAGTCACACGCTCACTCACACACTCGCTCACTCACTCACTCAATCAGTCACACTGTCACACTCGCTCACACGCTCACTCACACACTCACTCACACGCTCATTCAGTCACACACTCAGTCACACACTCAGTCACACACCCGTACACTCGCTCACTCACTCACTCACACACTCGCACACTCAGTCACACAGTCACTCATTCAGTCACACTCACCCGTACACTCACTCACACTCTCTCACCGTGTCTCTCTCTCTCACCGTGTCTCTCTCTCACCGTGTCTCTCTCTCACCGTGTCTCTCTCACCGTGTCTCTCTCTCTCACCGCGTCTCTCTCCGTGTCTCTCTCCCCGTGTCTCTCTCACCGTGTCTCTCTCTCTCACCGTGTCTCTCTCCGTGTCTCTCTCCCCGTGTCTCTCTCACCGTGTCTCTCCCTCTCACCGTGTCTCTCTCCCCGTGTCTCTCGCACCGTGTCTCTCTCTCTCCCCGTGTCTCTCTCACCGTGTCTCTCTCTCTCACCGTGTCTCTCTCACCGTGTCTCTCTCTCACCGTGTCTCTCACCGTGTCTCTCTCACCGTGTCTCTCTCACCGTGTCTCTCTCTCTCACCGTGTCTCTCTCACCGTGTCTCTCTCTCACCGTGTCTCTCACCGTGTCTCTCTCTCACCGTGTCTCTCTCTCTCACCGTGTTTCTCTCTCTCACCGTGTCTCTCTCACCGTGTCTCTCTCTCTCACCGTGTCTCTCTCACCGTGTCTCTCTCTCTCACCGTGTCTCTCACCGTGTCTCTCTCTCTCACCGTGTCTCTCTCACCGTGTCTCTCTCTCTCACCGTGTCTCTCTCTCACCGTGTCTCTCTCACCGTGTCTCTCTCTCCCCGTGTCTCTCTCTCTCCCCGTGTCTCTCTCTCTCACCGTGTCTCTCTCACCGTGTCTCTCTCACCGTGTTTCTCTCTCTCACCGTGTCTCTCTCACCGTGTCTCTCTCTCTCACCGTGTCTCTCTCACCGTGTCTCTCTCTCACCGTGTCTCTCACTCCCCGTGTCTCTCTCTCTCACAGTGTCTCTCTCTCCCCGTGTCTCTCTCACCGTGTCTCTCTCTCTCACCGTGTCTCTCTCACCGTGTCTGTCTCTCTCTCACCGTCTCTCTCTCCCCGTGTCTCTCTCACCGTGTCTCTCTCTCTCACCGTGTCTCTCTCCCCGTGTCTCTCTCACCGTGTCTCTCTCTCTCACCGTGTCTCTCTCTCCCCGTGTCTCTCTCTCTCCCCGTGTCTCTCTCTCTCCCCGTGTCTCTCTCTCTCCCCGTGTCTCTCTCTCTCACCGTGTCTCTCTCTCACCGTGTCTCTCCCCCCGTGTCTCTCTCTCACCGTGTCTCTCTCTCCCCGTGTCTCCCTCCCCGTGTCTCTCTCTCTCACCGTGTCTCTCTCTCTCACCGTGTCTCTCTCTCACCGTGTCTCTCTCCCCGTGTCTCTCTCTCTCACCGTGTCTCTCTCCCCGTCTCTCTCACCGTGTCTCCCTCCCCGTGTCTCTCTCCCTCCCCGTGTCTCTCTCCCTCCCCGTGTCTCTCTCCCTCCCCGTGTCTCTCCCTTCCCGTGTCTCTCTCCCTCCCCGTGTCTCTCTCTCTCTCCCCGTCTCTCTCACCGTGTCTCTCTCTCTCTCACCGTGTCTCTCTCTCTCACCGTGTCTCTCTCACCGTGTCTCCCTCCCCGTGTCTCTCTCCCCGTCTCTCTCTCTCTCACCGTGTCTCTCTCCCCGTGTCTCTCTCTCTCTCACCGTGTCTCTCTCCCCGTGTCTCTCTCTCTCTCACCGTGTCTCTCTCTCACCGTGTCTCTCTCCCCGTGTCTCTCTCTCTCTCACCGTGTCTCTCCCTCACCGTGTCTCTCTCCCCGTGTCTCTCTCCCCGTGTCTCTCTCCCTCACCGTGTCTCTCTCCCCGTGTCTCTCTCTCTCCCCGTGTCTCTCTCCCCGTGTCTCTCTCTCTCACCGTGTCTCTCTCACCGTGTCTCTCTCCCCGTGTGTCTCTCTCTCTCACCGTGTCTCTCTCTCCCCGTGTCTCTCTCTCTCACCGTGTCTCTCTCACCGTGTCTCTCTCCCCGTGTCTCTCTCTCTCTCACCGTGTCTCTCTCTCCCCGTGTCTCTCTCACCGTGTCTCTCTCTCTCACCGTGTCTCTCTCACCGTGTCTCTCTCCCCGTGTCTCTCTCTCTCTCTCACCGTGTCTCTCTCTCCCCGTGTCTCTCTCACCGTGTCTCTCTCTCTCACCGTGTCTCTCTCACCGTGTCTCTCTCCCCGTGTCTCTCTCTCTCTCACCGTGTCTCTCCCCGTGTCTCTCTCCCCGTGTCTCTCTCCCCGTGTCTCTCTCCCCGTGTCTCTCTCTCTCACCGTGTCTCTCTCCCCGTGTCTCTCTCTCTCACCGTGTCTCTCCCCGTGTCTCTCTCCCCGTGTCTCTCTCACCGTGTCTCTCTCCCCGTGTCTCTCTCTCTCACCGTGTCTCTCTCCCCGTGTCTCTCTCTCACCGTGTCTCTCCCCGTGTCTCTCTCTCCCCGTGTCTCTCACCGTGTCTCTCTCACCGTGTCTCTCTCTCACCGTGTCTCTCTCTCTCTCCCCGTGTCTCTCTCACCGTGTCTCTCTCTCTCTCACTGTGTCTCTCTCCCCGTGTCTCTCTCCCCGTGTCTCTCTCCCCGTGTCTCTCTCCCCGTGTCTCTGTCCAGGCGCTGGACGGACAGAACATCTACAATGCCTGCTGCACCCTCCGTGTCTCTCGCTCCCCGTGTCTCTCTCACCGTGTCTCTCTCCCCGTGTCTCCCTCCCCGTGTCTCTCTCTCCCCGTGTCTCTCTCCCCGTGTCTCTCTCTCCCCGTGTCTCTCTCCCCGTGTCTCTCTCTCACCGTGTCTCTCTCCCCGTGTCTCTCTCACCGTGTCTCTCTCCCCGTGTCTCTCTCTCACCGTCTCTCTCTCCCCGTGTCTCTCACCGTGTCTCTCTCTCTCACCGTGTCTCTCTCACCGTGTCTCTCTCCCCGTGTCTCTCTCTCTCTCTCACCGTGTCTCTCTCCCCGTGTCTCTCTCCGTGTCTCTGTCCAGGCGCTGGACGGACAGAACATCTACAATGCCTGCTGCACCCTCCGTGTCTCTCTCACCGTGTCTCTCTCCCCGTGTCTCTCTCCCCGTGTCTCTCCCCGTGTCTCTCTCCCCGTGTCTCTCTCCCCGTGTCTCTCACCGTGTCTCTCTCTCCCCGTGTCTCTCTCTCACCGTGTCTCTCTCACCGTGTCTCTCTCCCCGTGTCTCTCTCTCTCCCCGTGTCTCTCTCACCGTGTCTCTCTCTCTCACCGTGTCTCTCTCTCTCACCGTGTCTCTCTCTCTCACCGTGTCTCTCTCTCTCCCCGTGTTTCTCTCTCTCCCCGTGTCTCTCACCGTGTCTCACCGTGTCTCTCTCACCGTGTCTCTCTCTCTCCCCGTGTCTCTCTCTCCCCGTGTCTCTCTCCCCGTGTCTCTCCCCGTGTCTCTCTCTCACCGTGTCTCTCTCCCCGTGTCTCTGTCCAGGCGCTAGACGGACAGAACATCTACAATGCCTGCTGCACCCTCCGTGTCTCTCTCTCCCCGTGTCTCTCTCACCGTGTCTCTCTCCCCGTGTCTCTCTCTCTCTCTCCCCGTGTCTCTCTCACCGTGTCTCCCCGTGTCTCTCTCCCCGTGTCTCTCTCTCACCGTGTCTCTCTCCCCGTGTCTCTCTCACCGTGTCTCTCTCCCCGTGTCTCTCCCCGTGTCTCTCTCCCCGTGTCTCTCTCACCGTGTCTCTCTCTCCCCGTGTCTCTCCCCGTGTCTCTCCCCGTGTCTCTCTCCCCGTGTCTCTCACCGTGTCTCTCTCACCGTGTCTCTCTCACCGTGTCTCTCTCCCCGTGTCTCTCTCTCCGTGTCTCTCTCTCACCGTGTCTCTCTCCCCGTGTCTCTCTCTCCGTGTCTCTCTCTCACCGTGTCTCTCTCACCGTGTCTCTCTCTCACCGTGTCTCTCTCACCGTGTCTCTCTCTCCCCGTGTCTCTCCCCGTGTCTCTCTCCCCGTGTCTCTCTCACCGTGTCTCTCTCACCGTGTCTCTCTCTCCCCGTGTCTCTCCCCGTGTCTCTCTCCCCGTGTCTCTCTCCCCGTGTCTCTCTCCCCGTGTCTCTCTCCCCGTGTCTCTCTCCCCGTGTCTCTCTCCCCGTGTCTCTCTCACTGTGTCTCTCTCTCCGTGTCTCTCTCACCGTGTCTCTCTCACCGTGTCTCTCTCCCCGTGTCTCTGTCCAGGCGCTAGACGGACAGAACATCTACAATGCCTGCTGCACCCTCCGTGTCTCTCTCTCACCGTGTCTCTCTCACCGTGTCTCTCTCTCACCGTGTCTCTCTCCCCGTGTCTCTCTCCCCGTGTCTCTCTCCCCGTGTCTCTCTCTCCCCGTGTCTCTCTCTCACCGTGTCTCTCTCACCGTGTCTCTCTCCCCGTGTCTCTCTCTCACCGTGTCTCTCTCACCGTGTCTCTCTCTCACCGTGTCTCTCTCACCGTGTCTCTCTCCCCGTGTCTCTCTCTCACCGTGTCTCTCTCACCGTGTCTCTCTCTCACCGTGTCTCTCTCACCGTGTCTCTCTCACCGTGTCTCTCTCTCCGTGTCTCTGTCCAGGCGCTAGACGGACAGAACATCTACAATGCCTGCTGCACCCTCCGTGTCTCTCTCACCGTGTCTCTCTCTCACCGTGTCTCTCTCTCACCGTGTCTCTCTCACCGTGTCTCTCTCACCGTGTCTCCCTCCCCATGTCTCTCCCCGTCTCTCTCTCCCCGTGTCTCTCTCTCTCCCCGTGTCTCTCTCTCCCCGTGTCTCTCTCTCCCCGTGTCTCTCTCCCCGTGTCTCTCTCTCTCCCCGTGTCTCTCTCCCCGTGTCTCTCTCTCTCCCCGTGTCTCTCTCTCACCGTGTCTCTCTCCCCGTGTCTCTCACCGTGTCTCTCTCTCCCCGTGTCTCTCTCTCTCCCCGTGTCTCTCTCTCCCCGTGTCTCTCTCTCCCCGTGTCTCTCTCCCCGTGTCTCTCTCCCCGTGTCTCTCTCCCCGTGTCTCTGTCCAGGCGCTGGACGGACAGAACATCTACAATGCCTGCTGCACCCTCCGTGTCTCTCTCCCCGTGTCTCTCTCCCCGTGTCTCTCTCCCCGTGTCTCTCTCACCGTGTCTCTCTCCCCGTGTCTCTCTCCCCGTGTCTCTCCCCGTGTCTCTCTCCCCGTGTCTCTCACCGTGTCTCTCTCTCCCCGTGTCTCTCTCCCCGTGTCTCTCTCCCCGTGTCTCTCTCCCCGTGTCTCTCACCGTGTCTCTCTCACCGTGTCTCTCTCCCCGTGTCTCTCACCGTGTCTCTCTCTCACCGTGTCTCTCTCACCGTGTCTCTCTCACCGTGTCTCTCCCCGTGTCTCTCTCACCGTGTCTCTCCCCGTGTCTCTGTCCAGGCGCTGGACGGACAGAACATCTACAATGCCTGCTGCACCCTCCGTGTCTCTCTCCCCGTGTCTCTCTCCCCGTGTCTCTCTCTCACCGTGTCTCTCTCTCCCCGTGTCTCTCTCTCTCACCGTGTCTCTCTCTCTCCCCGTGTCTCTCTCTCTCCCCGTGTCTCTCTCCCCGTGTCTCTCACCGTGTCTCCCCGTGTCTCTCTCTCCCCGTGTCTCTCCCCGTGTCTCTCCCCGTGTCTCTCACCGTGTCTCTCACCGTGTCTCTCACCGTGTCTCACCGTGTCTCTCACCGTGTCTCACCGTGTCTCTCTCTCCCCGTGTCTCTCCCCGTGTCTCTCCCCGTGTCTCTCACCGTGTCTCTCACCGTGTCTCTCACCGTGTCTCACCGTGTCTCTCTCACCGTGTCTCACCGTGTCTCTCTCTCCCCGTGTCTCTGTCCAGGCGCTGGACGGACAGAACATCTACAATGCCTGCTGCACCCTCCGTGTCTCTCTCTTACCGTGTCTCTCTCTCACCGTGTCTCTCTCTCACCGTGTCTCTCTCACCGTGTCTCTCTCCCCGTGTCTCTCTCTCCCCGTGTCTCTCTCCCCGTGTCTCTCTCCCCGTGTCTCTCTCTCCGTGTCTCTCTCTCTCCCCGTGTCTCTCTCCCCGTGTCTCTCTCTCTCCCCGTGTTTCTCTCTCACCGTGTCTCTCTCTCTCCCCGTGTCTCTCTCTCACCGTGTCTCTCTCCCCGTGTCTCTCCCCGTGTCTCTCTCCCCGTGTCTCTGTCCAGGCGCTGGACGGACAGAACATCTACAATGCCTGCTGCACCCTCCGTGTCTCTCTCTCCCCGTGTCTCTCTCCCCGTGTCTCTCTCTCACCGTGTCTCTCTCACCGTGTCTCTCTCACCGTGTCTCTCTCTCCCCGTGTCTCTCTCTGCCCGTCTCTCTCTCCCCGTGTCTCTCTCTCCCCGTGTCTCTCTCTGCCCGTCTCTCTCTCCCCGTGTCTCTCTCTCACC